AGAGAGAGAGAGAGAGAGAATAATGGTGTAGTTTTAATTGCAATTATAATTATACAATTCAACGTAACTGAAAGCCATATACCGTATATTTTTAGTGATAAATGAATGCATTATAACATCGCCGAAACCAATGTTATAACATTATAACATTGGTTGACATAATAATTAACAATTTTGAATGACATTTGCAATCATTTTATTTCCAATACAATGAAAGCGCAAAATTGTTCCCATATTTAAAGCATGTGAACAATTATTTTATACTTTTCTGGACGACAATAAAGATAACAAATATATTGTGAGTGAAGTAAAGAATAAAAAATAGATTGCATTCAATATAACATTTTGGATATTTATTCATAACTTTTTTGTTATTTATTTTCTCATATATTCATTCAAAGAAAAAAGTTATTTCTCGCTTTCATAATATTAATATTATTATTATTATTGGGAATTATTATTATTTTGTGTTTCATTTTTCACTCTTCAATGAAAGGAATAAAAAAGCAGAAAATTTTTTCCAATAAAAGAAATTTCTCTTTTATTTATTCGTTAAAATGATTAGAATTTTTTTAGTTATTTATAACAATTTTTCTCCTTATTGTGCGAAATAATAGATATATATTTTTGGTTTTTTTGTTTTGTCCAAAATATGATAGAAAAACTTAAGGAATTAATTGAAAAATTGTGGTTTCGTTTAGTCTTATTTTTTGTGCCAAAATTTCCTTCTTGTTATCAATCATTAGAAATGAATGAATTAGTTATCAAAAAGAGAAAAGAGACAAAAAACTTAAAATAATAATAACAATAATATAAAGTAATTTTTTGATATAATTTGAATACTTTTCATATAATATAATAGCCTATAGTTTTTTGTTTGTTTGTTTGGTGTCATTTGTATATACAATATAATGTTGTTATGCATCGAATGCACATCACTTGCAATGTTGAGCACAAAAAATGTATTTTCAAATTTAATTAATTCAAAAAAATTGTTAACAATTTGCTTAATATAATATATATTATATATAATTCATATTTATAAGATTTACATTCAATAATTATTTGTATAAATAGTTATTTTCTCATATTTACACATTTGTTTTGATCACTTTTTAATTTGTTTATTTAGTTTATAACAAAAAACACACTTTAATTAGAAATTGATTTGAAAAGTGTTTCCGAAATCAAGTCCAACACTATATACACATTGAGAACAACGAATTTGTTTGGGTTTTGTTGTCACAGAATTGTTGTCACAAATAATAATAATTTAATGAGAAATAGGTTTTTGTCAAATTTTTTCGTAGCAAAAAAGTAGTCATTTTCATTATATGGACGCTCTTTTGTTAGTCACTTCTTCGAGAGAGGGATCAATATTTGGCGCATTTATAAACATAGTCTGAGGGTTGGAGGGCTGGTAAGGATTGGTGACACCACCGCCGCCGCCGCCGCCGAAGATGGAGTCGTGGTCTCCGATTTCGGACGAACCCGAAGCCGACCGGAAGAGATGGAGAGGAAGCAAATGCGAGCCCTGTCTATAGTAGACACCGCTGTCGCGTCTGAACGAGTATTTGGTAGACCGTCGACGGGACGAGCGCTGTGTGTACTGACGCGGGCCATAGCAAGTGCACGAACACACCGACGCTATCTCGTCGTTGTCTGGCGTGGCTTTGTCTCGCGGGTCGTGACCCGAGATGATGGAGCCGTTGGCGGTGATCACGTCTCCCTCGAGCCGTACGGCCCCCTGCGCTGCGGTCGCCGCCTCCGCTTCGTCGCGGCGCTCGTCCTCTGTGTTGAGTGTCAGGAATCGGAGCACTAGTAGATTGATAGCGGCCGACACCACCGATAGTCCAAATAGTATAAACACTAGACTAAACGCTACGTATTCTGGCTTTGATTGTAAGGCGCTGTCCTTTTGAAGGGCCACGTAATCGCCGAAACCAATTGTCGTTAATGTTATGAAACAGTAGTAAAATGAGTCAAAATAGTTCCACTGTTCGTATTTGGAGAAAGCGGCCGCACCGGTGGTCATCACCAATGTTGACAGTATCGACACAAAACATATTAAATTTGTTTCAGTCACCTGAGCCGTCACAATCACACACAATCACACCATTGGTTCCCATCGCACACCACCAAACGTATCGCACAATTTGCAAAAGAAAAATATATATTAGTTTATTGTTATATTAAGTTTGTAGATCATGGTTGTATCAAAATTACAAAGTGGTTATAAATAGTATTAAGCCGTTAATAACAATTCGTTGAGGTTATAAAATGTATTAAATTATTTTGAATACAGAATTTATGTGTGAAATAAAAATATATAGTAAAAGAGATTAAACGATAGATGTTTTTATATGGAAAATGTTTGCTTATTATCTTAAGTAATGGAAATTAATTTGTAAGTTATATAAAACAGAGTTTATTTTATTTAAGAGATTGTAATTGCTTTAGGACTCATATTCTAGGCTTAATTTTTCCTCTAATACCCATAAAATGTTTACAAAATAACACAATAAAAGAACTTTTAATAGTGTTGTTGAGGAAAAATACAGCAAAATAATGGTATGAAAGCGATTGATTGTCATTAATAGAGGAATTAATGAATGCTATAATTGAATTAGAGTTTATTTTTTGGGCGCCAGTGTTTACATGAGATTCACGGACAGTACTGTATATCATGAGAAACATCACATGTATTCAACATTATTATTATAAGAATAGCAATATTAATCGGAATATCAATTGAGATCTAATTTTAACATATAATTTATGAATAGTTTCTTTATATGATTTCACATTTCAAGTGATGCTCTATTTATAAAACTTACAAAACTCTATGAATACATTTCTTTAGTATTATTTCTGTCTTTCAAATGAAATGTTATTTGCATTTAATTTTATTATTTATGGAAACTCTTTTTAGTTGCAAACAAACCATTTTCAAAGTACAGTATAATAGTATTAAAAATAATATAAAATGTGATATAATATAGCATTGAAACGCTTGAGTTTCTGCAAAATATTTTCATAACAAATACTAAATTATTCTTATCTTAACAAACAGAGAGAGAGAGAGAGAGTAATGGTGTAGTTTTAATTGCAATTATAATTATACAATTCAACGTAACTGAAAGCCATATACCGTATAT